TTTCTCTTTCATTGTCATGGATGCCTTTTCCTTTCTCATAGATGCGACTCTCTGATGATGTAAAAAACAAAAGGTCCAAATCGTTTTCCCTTACTAGGTGAGTTGTCTCGTATCTCCGCCTCTAAACAATCCTTTTGGCTCTGTTGTGGTTCCACTATTCTATCCTTATTGAATCAATTTTCTGACTCTGCACCTTGTGGGGTCACTACATTCCTTGGATGTACATTGCTTGTCCCTTCCTTATGACCTCGTGTCTGTATCTGTTCTGAAAAAAGATTAGCTGCTGATGATCCTACATCTTCTCCGGCATAAGTTCAGTTGTTTCCCTTCCTCTCCTAGTTGCCGCTGTGTTCTTCTTCATGATTCTTCCCTGACCAATTTTCTTTGAAAAAACAAGTTGCTTGAGTACTTTGGGCTCAAAGGTCTGGTCCAAAACTGGCCTGTGCATTCAACTTTCTCTCAACACATTGATTTTGAGCATGACCAACCCTTCCACACTGATAACAAAAGTCAAACAACCTTTCATACTTGAAACTAATCCAGAGGTCATCAAATTGTTCTCGAGCAAGGAAGAAACCTTTCTTCAGATGATCATTTAGATCAATAATGCAATTAACACGTAAATAGCCTCTATGTAGCAATAACTCCCCAACAAACTCTTCAAGTTGACTAGGTTCCCCAATAATCATCCCAATTCGCCATGAGGAGTTATTTGTCATCATATTAAAGGGAAGGCCCTAGATTTGTACCCATTATTCTGTTTTGTGGAAGTCATAATCCTTTATCGTATTTTGAGGGAAACATTTCTTAAGCACCAGTAGCGCCCCCATAACAGACCAAGGCCCTTCTCTGTAGATCAGTTCCCTATCATCCTCACTCTTGAACATTAACATATAGGCGTTTTTCTCCCAAAAAGTAATGGAGAAACCATGTGCAGTTTTCCACGCCCCTCGTAACACAGAAGAAACCCCTTCTTTGTTGAGTGGTGTTTCAGTAAAGACTTTTCCCATCATACATCACTGTTGTACTTCTCTCGAGTTTGATGGGTTAGTGTAAAGTGAATAATGGGGGAGATTTGGGGAATGAGATTTAATTTCATATTCCTTTGACATTTTTTAAAGAAAACGTAGACAGAAAAGAGGCTTTGGATAGGGATTGGAACAGGGAAGAAAAAGGAAAACAGTGACCCTACTGCATCAAAAAGGTAAGGAAAATAGGGCTGGAGAGAGATGAAAGGTGCAGAAAGAAGCCATACAGATGTATATTAAGAATCCACAGTAGAAAAAAATAAGGGTTACCATTCAGGATTGCAGATGCATTGAAAGAAGGTGATGATGATTTACCAATCTTTTGTTTAGTGCTCCCAGATCAATTGATTTCATGAAAAACAGAGAGATGTGGAAAGAGGCTGAAACGTATTCAGGAAGAACACAAAAGGTGGAAAATCTCTATGTTAGAGAGAGAATCTCCAGTCTAGAGAGATTTTTTTTGCAAAAAGCTTTTGCACACACACATTATTCAAATATACTAATCAAACTAATTAATTACACACAATTTAATTTACAATTGCAACGTGTGCAATAGATACTAGTGTACATGAATTTGCACGCTCGTAAACCAACCCAACAAACAAGGAAAAGACACCTCTCGAAACATTTGAGAATGATTCGAACCTTATGAAAAAGAAGCTCTCAGGTACAATTTTTTTCTGGGCGGATGGGGGAAGTAGTCCGACAGGATCTCCCACCGACTTGGCTCGGCACTACTGAATTTGAATGGACTAGTTTTGTCTGAGGAAGTTCAAACTAATTCAATCCCAAACTTAACAAAACCCAACCCATTTGGTTACCATTGGGCCCATAATCCAACTATGTATAGTCCTTCCTCCTAAAATAATAAACACAAACACAGTAATCCCATGCAATTTGCAATTTTTAATTTGGGTTAATCTCATTTTACACCCCGAAAAATTGTTCGCATCTCAATTTACGCCCTCAAATATCAAAAATCTCAATTTACACCCTCAAAGATAGAAATTTGTATCAATGTGCACCTCCAAATATCAAAAATCTCAATTTACACCCTCAAAGATAGAAATTTATATCAATGTGCACCCCAAAGATAAAAAATCTCAATTTGCACCCTCAAAGATAGAAATTTGTATCAATGTGCACCTAAAAACTAAATTGATAAATTATACCTAGATCCCCTCATACTTGTCACTTATTCATTTAGTCCTCTTCATATTTAGAATATTACTCTTACATCTTATGGTATTTGTGCACGTATAACACGTAACCCATTTTCATTTTTATCTATTAATATAACCGTTAAAAATATAATTTTATCCTAATAAAAAATTATAATTTCATATTACCCTTTATTTTATGGGTTTAATATATTCTAAAGTTTAAAATCTAGTTTATCATTTGAATGTCTAATAAAATGTAAATATTTATATAATATTTTTCATATTACCTTTTATATAAATATCTACATTTTATTAGACATTCAAATGGTAAGCTTGATTTTTAACTTTAGAGTATATTGAATCCACAAAATAAAATGTAATATGAAATTATAATTTTTTATTAGGATAAAATCATATTTTTTAATGATTATATTAACAGATATCAACGAAAAGTGGTTATGTGTTACACATGCACAAACGTCATGAGATGTAAGGGGAATATTCTAAATGTGAAGGAGTTCAAATGATTAAGTGACAAATATGAGGGGATTTAGGTATAATTTATTAATTTAATTTTAGGTACACATTGATACAAATTTCTATCTTTGAGGGTGTAAATTGAGATTTTTTATTTTTGGGGATGCACATTGATACAAATTTCTATCTTTGAGGGTGTAAATTGAAATTTTTGATCTTTGAAGGTGTAAATTGAAATTTGAATAATCTTTTAGGGTGCAAAATGAGATTAACCCTTTTAATTTTTATAGCCATACTTGGGATAGCCTTAAGAAGTGTGTGTTTTTATATGTCTACTATGGCCCTTACAGTGTTAGTGTGAGTGGTTTTAGTAGCCATACCAAAAAGAAAAATATAATATTAGCACAAATTAGTTATTCAACTACTATTGTTTTGAAACTAATTAGATATTGTGATTTTAAATTTATTTACCAAATTAGTATTGTTTTCCAAAAAACCATTGTTCAATGCAAAAGCGTGTTTTGAAAACTCTTTCACTTTCTATCATTTTAAAACTTATTTATCAAAATACGATAATATTAAACTTATTTTTCAAAAAGTATATTTGAAAAATACATTGCGCTTTAAAAATACAATTTCAATTGACAAGTTTTGCCTTTGAATGGGAAATCAGTGATATGATAAATATTCATTCCTAGAAAATTGATATATTAGTTTGAGTATAAAAAATAATCTCTCTAAAACATATAAAACACTACTTTTTTTGTTACAAAGTGTTTAACCTTGCATTGACTATTTCTTCAAGCTCAGCAATTGGTTGTCGTAATTTGAAGATAAAACACTACTTCTAGACAAAAGTTTTTTGCACTAACCATGTGTCATTTGATAATATATATATTTTTATATAATTTATTTTTAAAAAATAGTTTTATTGCTATGATAAAAATGTTTTTGCCCCAAAAAAAATAATTGAAAAAACATTGCCCCGTTCTCACTATATATATTTTACCCACCAAGAGCTGCTTAGGCTGTAAAATTGATGCTGTAATTAATAATAATGTGGTCATATAGCTAATAATGATTTAGACTTTATATATACTCTTGTAGGAACAACATCTAGCAAATACTTGCCTCGTAGTTTGCACAACACTTGAACAATTTATTGATTTAATCTATCATAATTATTGAATTGATTGTGAATTCAACAAGTATTGAAATTTACAATCAATTCAATGATTAAATACTAACGCACCACACTGCACGAAAAATATTATCTCTCTATTGTCACCCTATCCAACTCTCACCATCATGGCATCACTCATGCCCTAACTCGACACTATTCAAAAATTATATATTTGAAGTTTATACATAAATAGTTACCAAAGACCATACAAAATTTAAGGATAAAATAACGAGAAGTGGTTATAAGGGCCGCAGTGAATTTTTTTGAGATTATTTAAATAACAATCATCTTCGATAAAATTTAATTGTTATTAGATAATTTACTAGTAATTTGAATTATACATTTATAAAAATATAATAACAATTGAGATTAATTTAATTTTCATCTAATTTTATTTAACGGTACACAATTTATTAAACAAAAAAAAAATTTGTCTAAAAATGTCATTTTTTGTGCACAATCTCCGATGTTAAATAATTCAACCAACGTATTTTTAATAGCAGACAACTCTACTAATCCACACTACCTCTCTATTATTTTATCTCTGTCTATTTTAATTTTAAATTGTATATTAAAAAAATTATTATTTAAAAAATATATATTATGTAATTAATATTTAATTATTGGTATTACAGTGTGAAGACACATGAATTTTTGATATTATTATATTATTATAGATAAAAATATTTGGAGGGAAGATTAAGCAAATAAACAAATAACACTTTCTAACGTGAATAATAACACACTATAAATTATCGGTAATTACGATTTCCACATAAAAGACGAGAACAGAGCCATCACACAGTACGCACAGAGGGAACCAAGTACAACCTTAAAAATTCTCTCTCTGTTCGCCGGAAAATTACGTCACCAATCGACATAATCCATCTGCTAATACTCGGCGGCGAGGTTCGGATCATATGATTTCCCTCTGCTTTTCAGTGTAAGGACAATTATATGCGTTAGATTTTCTTGAGCTTTTATAAAAATATGGGGTCTTTGTCAACTTTGTTCCAGATCTCGTATCTTTGATTAAAGATGCACAATTTGGATTTTTGGGGGTTTTCTGTTAACGTTGATGGTGAATTTGGGGGGAATTGAATGTGTATTTGATTAATATCTGGGGGATTTTTTTTGATATTTCGAGGAATGGAAGAGGGTGTGAGATCAGGGGGTGTGTTGAAGAAAAAGAGCTCATCTGGTTGTTTGATTATCAAAAAGAAAGGGGATGGGATGGGTGGGGTTGGTCCGTCGGGTTCACGTAAAGATAAGAAGAGGTCTAGATTAATTCGTAGGGATTCGGGGTCGAGTGATGAGTTACTAGAGCCTAGTCGGAGGAAAGTAACAGGAAAGTGTCATAATGGCTCGGTTGAATTTAGAAAGAATATTGTGGACAATAGAGAATTTGTTAGGAATGGCGAATTTGGAAGTGAAGAGACAAAGGGAAGTAGGTTAGATTTGTTTGAATTCAATGAGTATGATGAATTCGATGGAAAGATGATGAGGAATGATTATATGATTGGACGTAGGGGGAGTCCCATGGAATTTGGAAGTGGGTCTAGTAGAAACGTAATGGGTGGGAGGAATAAAGGAGTCAATTACAATGTAAAGAGCATGTTGGAGGGGGAGGAGGATGAAGCTCATTTGCCAATTTCATCTTTGAGGAGAGAGAAGTTTCAGGAAGCATCTGATAAGCCTATCAGGTTGCAGGGGAAAAATGGTGTGTTGAAAGTAATGGTCAATAAAAAGAAGATGGGTTTGTCTCATAGTAGTTACAATCATCAGGAAGTTAAGGATAGAACGGGTTCTAGGTCTGGGGATGCTTTTAGAAAGAACACAGTGGCGCGACCCTCATCATATTCTGATTCGAAACATCCTGAAAAAACAGTTACATTTGTCAAGACTGAGAAAAGTGAGATGAAATTGCGGAAATCATTGCAAACTAAGAGCAGTAAGGGTGGGGATTTGGAAACAGACACCTCACTGAAGCTGAGACCTTCAACTGTGAAAGCTTGTGATGCAGCAATAGGGGTGAAAAATGAAGGAAAAAAAACTCCGCTGACTGAAAATACTACTACAGGTAGAAGTAAGGAAAGAAAAATTTCAGGCAGTGTGGGCACAGACAAGCAAATACTACGTGAGCAGATAAGGGATATGCTCATCAAAGCTGGCTGGACAATTGATTATAGGCCAAGAAGGAATAGAGATTATCTAGATGCCGTTTACATTAACCCCAGTGGAACGGCTTATTGGTCAATTATTAAGGCTTATGATGCTCTTCAAAAGCAGATGGAGGAAGAGGGTGATAATACCAAACCTGGCTCGAAAGAGGTTCAATTCTCTCCATTATCAGGTGACTTGCTCAATAAATTAACCAGACGAACCAGAAAGAAGATTGAGAAGGAAACGAAGAAGAGAAGAGACGATGGTCTTGCGGAGGGAAGTGACAATGATCAGCATGAGGATACACTTAGTTTCTATATGAGGCAGAATGGCAAGTCATTGAGAGGCAGATTGCAAAAAGCAGATCATGTGAGTGGGGATGATTTGAATGAAAATGCAACTAATTCTCGTAAGATACAAGGAAGAAAAAGCAGAATCAAAGGCAGATGTACTTTGTTGGTTCGTAGTTCTGACGAGGGACAGGATTCAGAAACTGAAGGCTATGTTTCATATACCGGAAAACGAACCTTGTTGGCATGGCTGATTGACTCTGGAACTGTGAAATTGAGTGAAAAAGTGCAGTATATGAACCGTAGACGAACAAAAGTAATGCTAGAGGGATGGATCACGAAGGATGGTATCCACTGTGGTTGCTGTAGCAAAATCCTTACGGTTTCGAAGTTTGAGATTCATGCAGGAACCAAAAAGGGTCAGCCATACCAAAACATAGTCTTGGAGTCTGGGTTTTCCTTGTTGCAATGCCAGATAGATGCATGGAACAGGCAGCAGGAGTCAGAACGCCAAGGCTTTTACACCATAGAAATTGATGGTGATGATCCCGATGACGATACTTGTGGCATCTGCGGTGACGGTGGGGATTTGATCTGTTGTGATGGTTGTCCATCAACGTTTCATCAGAGCTGCTTAGATATACAGGTATATGTTTGACAGAAATGGAAACTACTTTCGTTCTGTTTTTCTTTTGCCTGTAAACGCTCTTCTGGGCCATTTTATTGTTTTCCCTTCATTACATAGATAGTGATATGTATGTGTGCGATTATATACACAGCACACATGACTGTCTAGATGGTAATTATGCATCTGTGCAAACCAGATAAGGAATTTTTAGTGCATATTTAATGTTTTAGCTAGAAGGAATAGTGGATGGAGACTCTTTTTGAACTTTGAGATTTGGTGCAACTCAAAGAAAGTAGGTTTGGGATGAAAGATAAATACAGTGTAATATGATGTGTGATCGTTCATTGACAAGATAATTGCTATCTGTTACCTATTGCATGTTTAACCCGTAATATATTTGAAGACATTTGCAAACTCCAAGTTATTATAACGTGTTTGGAAGAGGCAAAACCTTGTCTCATTTTATGAGGTTCCTTTTATTGAAAAGAACAGATACAGTTACACCCTTCCCTTATCTTATTACTTGGCCTGACAGTGGGCATGATGGCAGATTTAAGAACTAACACCTCACGCTGGTGATGTAAATGTTTTTACTGGAACTTTTAGCTTTGAAGTTGATTTGTTGAGCATGTTAATGTTATGGAAGCGTAGGGTGCAAACTTATCGGCTTAGGAGAGAAAACCACATTGAATAAAGTAATTTAGTGTTGTGCGTTGGTGTGCTATAGCACTTTTTGCTTTGGCTGCACATTACATTGATTTGTGACTTTGCTGTTGGGTTGCGCTTCTCTTATTGCAGATGCTACCCCTAGGTGATTGGCACTGTCCAAATTGTACATGCATAATTTGTGGGATCGTCAGTGGGGGTGACGCTGAAGAAAATAGTAGAACTGTTGAATCACTTATCACATGCAGCCTTTGTGAGAAAAAATGTAATTTTCTTTCCTAGTTTTGTCTTAAGGTTTATGTGTGTTCTTTTTGTATTTTTTTTCGACCGGGTTTGGCTGATATTTAACTTTTTGCCTTTGGTAGATCACGAATCATGCTGTCAGAAGATGAATTCTCTACCTGCTGATTCGAATAACGCCTCCACTTCCTTTTGTAGCAACAAGTGCCAGGAGGTATTAGCTTTTTTAAGAATTTGGACAAGTGCCTATATTTTTTTCTCTTTGTCCAGGTCGTCTTTGTCATTTTCCAACCAGTCAGAACTCAAGCACTCTGGGGGCCCATTCAAGTTAGATAACCTCTGCTCATCCCATTCAACATCAGTTACAGTGCCCTTAAGACAATTTTATCCAATCTTTGACTGTATAAACGAGATGAAGGAATATATTGTTGTGTCCAGACGAAAAGAAATTTTGTCATTACAAAAATGGAGGGTAAGAAACAAGTCTTATCTTATTTAATCTCAAACCCTTAATAGAACCATTCAATTCTGCCTAATTTATGTCCTCTAAGCACTTCTACAACTAGAATAATGGAAGTAGGTTTGCACTGATGAATAGTGGAAAGGTTCAGATTGAACACAAAGTGTCCTTTAGTCTGTTTGAAATCAAATCTTCTCTAGTTGATTTCAATTTAATGTTGACTTTGCATTCTTCTGTTTGTTTCTGACTACCTGTCACTCTGCTATGAAAGCTATTTTGAATCTTTTGTTGGAAGATATCAAATAAATCAAAATTTGTGTGCTTTTGCAGATATTTGACCATTTGCAAAACCTTCTTGGGGTCAAACATGAAATGGAAGCAGGATTCTCATGGTCTCTCATTCGTCGAACAGATCTAGACTTAGATGCATTCCATCATGGGTCTCCTCAAAGAGTGGAATGCAATTCAAAGCTTGCCGTTGCACTTTCCATCATGAATGAGTGTTTTTTATCCATTGTTGACAGGAGGAGTGGCATTAATTTAATACATAATGTTCTTTATAATTGTGGGTAAGCAGTTATTCTTGTCTGGAACTATGCAGAATTTTGTCCACATATTAATTTATGCAGCCTACTATTGGTACACATTACGCATTTGCTCAACTAGTTTGTTTTCTTAAGGTTTCTATATGAGGCACATATTAACCACTCATTCTTTTTTGTTTTTTTCCTTTTTTTGATACTAATAAATGCATTAATTGAAAAGCTGCCATTATTATGTTCATAGATTAACCTTTTTGGGCATTCTGATGGGCATTAGCCGCACAGGCCTGAGAGACTTTTCTGATCTACATACATCAAAGTCAATAGATTTGGCTACGATATGGTATGTGGTGGATGTTCCTAGGATTACTATTGATTCCTCAACAATCCAAGAGGATAAGACCACCCCAGTGACTAGCAGCCACAGCTCAATCTATGGCAAACAAATTACTAGTGATTCAGCCAGTGCTGCATAACTAGCTCTAGCATATTTGGCTAGCGAGGCAGTTCTTCCACCATTTAAAGCAGCCTCGTTTCCCAGACCAGTTAGTAAATCAGTTTTGTGATGCCACAAACTTTTATTGGCTGTGCATGTGAGTAGGGTTGATAATCGAACGAGCACAAACAAGCTTGAGCCGAGTCTGTCAAACTCGCTTTCTAAACGAACCTAAAAATTTATTCAAGTTCGGCTCGTTTAGAAAACGAGTCTAAATGTGCCGAGCCTGAATGAGCTGAACCTAAGCCTAGGTCGAGTAGGTCGGTTCGTTAGCCCCACATGTGAGAGAAGGTTACGAACAAAGTTGTTAGTATCGTACGATACACGATACGTATCGTACGATACGTTACGATACAGCCCTAAAACGATACGTATCGGTGTTATGTATCGTTTTTGCGTTGTATCGTCCGATACACGATACGTTTTTACGATACGATACGTATCGGTACGAAACGCACGATACGTGCAAATTTTTTTTTTTTTTTTTTTTTTTTTTTTTTTTAAAACGACGTCGTTTGAAGTGTGTTGATTTTTTTTTTGTTTCCCTATAACCACTGAAACGACGTCGTTTCAGTGGTTAGGGTTACAAAAAAAAAATTCACACATTTCTCACATATATCACACATTTCAGCCATCGACGTCTGGTTTCTCTCAGCCATCGACCGATGACTGTCGTTTCTCTTCAGCCGTCGACCGACGTGTGTGGGTGGGTGATGATCGACTGTGGGAAGTCTTCGACTTGTAGGTGGTGATCGCTGTGGGTGGTCTTCGACTGGTCTCCGACTGGTCTTCGACTGTGTTCGACTGGTCTCCGACTGGGTGGGTGGTCTTCGACTGTGGGTGGTCTTCGACTGGTCTCCGACTGGGTGGGTGGTCTTCGACTGTGGGTGGTCTTCGACTGTGTTCGACTGGTCTCCGACTGGGTGGGTGGTCTTCGACTGTGTTCGACTGGTCTCCGACTGGGTGGGTGGTCTTCGACTGTGGGTGGTCTTCGAGTCTGGGTGGTGATCGATTGTGGGTGGTCTCCAACTGTCGGTGGGTGATTGCCGGTCTGTGGGTGATTGCCGGTCTGTGGGTGATTGCTTGTGGGTGATTGCTGTGGGTGATTGCTCGCTGTGGGTGATTGCTGTGGGTGATTGCTCGCTGTGGGTGATTGCTTGTCTCCGACTGTGGGTGTTGATCGCTGCCTTCTTCCTTCTCCAGGTACTCCTTTTTCTTCTTCTTCCCAGTCTCCATTGATCGTTGGTCCTGTGCAGTATGTAATGATATTAATTTATTTACAAAGCCAAATGTATATAAATTTTTTTGTATAAAAATTTCTGAATCTTGATTAATTTTAATTTTGTGCAACAGTGGCATCACCTGCATCCAATTTTCATATAGAAATGACTAAAAAACTTGCTAATGATCCCACATGGGAACATTGTGACAAAGTAGAAGGATCAAGGTTGAAATTGAAATGCATTCATTGTGCAAATGTCTATTGGGGAGGCATTTCAAGAATGAAAAATCATTTGGCAAGTAATCGCAAAGATGTAGCAGCGTGTAAGCATTGCCCTGAGGAAGTAACTGAATTTTTTAAGCAATTATTGGATGATAGGGCAATTAGCAAAGATATGAGTCTTGTGGATTCGAAAAGTAGTGGCAGTGTGGGTAGTACTACTGCTGATAAAATACAGCCAACCACCACAATTACTTTGAATACTATGTTGAAGAAAAAGGGTAGGGAAGATGTATGCTTGGATATTTGTAGATGTTTTTATGCTAATGCCCTTCCTTTTAATTTGGTAAAGGATCCATATTTTGTAAGAATGTTAGAATCTGTTGCATCGTTTGGTAAGGGATTGAAACCTCCATCGTATCATGAGGTGAGATGTTCTTTTTTGAAAAAAGAAACAAATTTGATTAATGGTGGGTTGATGGAAAATTATAAAGCAGAGTGGAGAAGGACGGGTTGTACTCTTATGTCTGATGGATGGACTGATGGGAAACATCGCTCTATCACTAATTTTTTAGTGAATAGTCCTAGAGGAAGTGTGTTTCTTAAAAGTATTGATACTTCAGGTATTTGTAAGAATGCGGATAATCTTTTTGAGCTTTTAGATTCAATGGTAGAAGAGATTGGTGAGGATAATGTTGTTCAGGTTGTAACTGATAGTGCATCGGCTTATGTAAAAGCTGGGGAGTTGTTAATGGAAAAGAGGAAAAAGTTGTTTTGGTCTCCTTGCGGTGCACATTGTCTAGATCTCATTTTGACGGATATTGGGGACCTTCCTCTGCACAAGGATATAATGTCAAAGGCAAGGAAAATCACAGTTTACATTTATAGACATTCTTGGGTGTTAAATCTTATGAGAAAGTATACAAAGAAAAGGGATTTGGTGAGAGCTTGTGTGACCAGATTTGCCACCTCATATTTAACTTTAAGGAGTTTATTTGAAAATAAAATTGGGCTTAGAGCAATGTTTGCTTCTGAGGAATGGCAGAGAAGTCAATATTGTAAGAAGGGAGATGGTGTAAAAGTGATGGATATTATACTAGCTGACCAAAATTTTTGGGGATCAATCAAGTATTGCTTGAAGTGTGTGTTGCCATTGGTGAAGGTGTTGAGGCTTGTAGATGGGGATCTAAAGCCTGCCATGGGGTATATTTATGAGGCAATGGACAAGGCAAAGGAACAAATCCAAAAGAATTTTCGTAATGTGAAGAAGCACTATGAGCCCATATGGACTATTGTTGACACTAGATGGAACATGCAATTACACAGACCTCTTCATGCAGCTGCCTATTATCTCAATCCCGCGTAAGACTTAATTTTCTCAATTTTTATATCATTTTATATCTATATATTGTATGCTAATCAATGATCATTGTAAATCAAAATAATTATTTCAGGTTTCATTACACCGGTAGTGCGGACTATGAGATAAAGATGGGACTATATCAGACTATTCAGAGAATGTGCCCAAGTCCTATTATGAGAGAAAAAGTTGATAAACAATTAGATATCTTTCATAATGCTGATTTGATGTTTGGAATGGACATGGCAATCCAAATGAGGAAGAAGAAACAACCTGGTTAGTGGTAACTTAACTTAAGTTGGTTATTTGAATGCAACTGCTTAAGTTAGTTAATAGAGTATTCTATTGTAATTTTTTATAGCCTTGTGGTGGGAATCATTTGGAGGATGTTGTCCAGAGTTGCAACAACTTGCTATCCGCGTCCTTAGCTTGACTTGTAGTGCCACTGGATGTGAGAGGAATTGGAGTACATTTGACCAGGTGCACTCTAAGAGGAGAAATCGATTAGAGCAACAAAGATTAAGTGCACTTGTGTTTGTGAAGTACAATCTTCGATTGGAGGCAAGACACCAAAAGAGAATACTAGAGGGTGATTCCTATGATCCTATTTCTCTCTCAGATATGGAATCTGATGATGAGTGGATCACTGAAAAAGAAGATGCACTCCTTCCTGAGGACACTACTTGGATGAATGTTGGTGAATGTTTTGAGGTTCAAGAAGGGACTAGCAAAAAGAGAAAGAGAGGTAATTAAAATGTAGTGGTTGTTTTTTCTTCTTCTCCATTACTTTGAATTTTATTTTTTTTATATTTTGTATTGGTTGCTTTGTAGGGCCTAGAAATCTTACTTTAAGCAAGAAAAAAGGAAAGCAAATAGTTCAACTTGAAGATGAGGATGAGGATGAGGATGAGGATGAGGATGAACAAATACAAGAAGTTGAAGATGATAAAGGAAGTGAAGACTTGTTGGCATCCGATCACAATGATGATGATGATGATGCATTTTCAATTGAAATTGAAGATTGAGTTCAAAATGGATGTTAGAAATTTGGATTAGAAGTCTCTTTGGTGTTTAAAGTTTGAATTAGTGAACTATGGTTGTGAACTTTGCATTATAATAGTAGTGGATTATGTTGATAACTTGAATAGTTGGTGGAGTATTAATGAAATGCTATATTTTTTATGAGTGTATGACTTTTTTTCAAAGGTATATATATTTTTTTATTATTTATTTAAAATTGCATCGTATCTTACGATACACGATACGATACACGATACGATACAATATTTGTATCTTACGATACGCCTTCCGATACACGATTTGATAACTATGGTTACGAATGTTAGGCCATTTAGATGTTTTTTAAGGATAGTACCTATTGAGTGACTGATTTCATTTGCTAATAGCTGTTGGAGGGTAAAGTACAATTGAATATTCGTATGTATTGCTATGACAATAGGGCATACTTACTTTCCAAAAAAAAAGACAATAAGGCATACAACTTATATTTTTGTCATGCTTTGTCTTCCACATCCTCATTTTTCTAATCATACTTTTCTCTTCATGGTGTAGAATGAGTAGGTATGATTAATTGCTATCTTTGATGATTATTTTAACTGTGGTACTTTTTTGGGGTTGTCGCATATTATCTGAATATATGTTGTTTTTAATTTTTTTTTTTCTGTAGATCAAACTTCAGTCGTTTGAACTATAGTGGCTTTTATACAGCGATTTTGGAGAGGGGCGATGAAATAATTTCTGCAGCATCCATCAGGTATAATTCTTCGTAGTTTTGAAGCTGTATTTGTTGCATATGCAGTTTATGATTACGTATTTTCTGTGGCAACTGGCAAGAAGAGTTAATTAATGGATAAATGTGGTAGCAATGTCTTGTAACTGGGGCAACTGTATATGCCAATAGCTGCGTCACAATTATTAGGGGGAATAAGATCAAAGGAAAAAAATGTTCCTCATTGATCAGGGAAACCAAGTGAGGTGAGTTTATAAGGATCCTCCACACCTCCAAGCTTTGCCCTTTTGGTGTTTTTGTCGTAGGTAACGCCCTTGGGAGTCCTTCTTGATTTTTGACTTTTTGTGTGTGTGGAGGGGGGTTGGATTGGAACAAAAGATCCCAGGAACATACCATTAGCTTACTGCACTAGTTTAGATTCCGCTTTTCTTGATCAATGGGGTATTCTCACACTGAATATTCTTTTGGATCGTTATGGAATGTCATTTGGAGATGAAAATTCTGCATTGGTTAAAGTGGGTGTCCACTGTGAAATGTTTTTCTTGAAAATTGAAGAAGTTTGGCATTTAAGATGACTAACAGTCGTTATTGTCTTCTTAATGTCTTTAGATTCATTTATCTAGATCGCCTTATTGGTAATCCATTTTTAAAACTGATTATTTAGTTGGGATGTTTCTTATACTTTGTGTGCCCATCAACGTGTGCTGATCAGCACTAATCACTATACTGTTCATCCCCTGGTTAGGATACATGGGACTCAACTAGCAGAGATGCCATTCATTGGGACCCGCCATATATATAGACGCCAAGGGATGTGCCGTCGACTATTGTATGCTATTGAATCGGTATGGAGATAATATTTTTTGGTTGGCCTTGCTTTTTAATGTCAGAAATTGTGCAAATATGATGATATTATGTTTTCAAAAGAATGGTTAATATATGTTAGCTCTTCAGATCTCCACCCTGGCTTTTGAGATCTTGGGCTCTCCTGTCATTCATGCTTGTTCCTGTAGTTGTTGCATATGTACACATATAATGTGTTTCAATATTTTAGATTATTAGTTGCCATTGTCTAAGTGTTGATTTCTCCATCAAATTCTGAGAAGGTTCCTTCTTTTTCTTTTTCCTTTTCTTCATTGACCTTGCTTTCTTTCTTCCCATTGTTTTAGGTTGCGTTTGGTAACATTTTTGTTTTTGTGTTTTCAAAAAAATAAAAAACAGAAACAATTATTGTTTTTTCTGTGATAAAAATAAAAAACAAAAAATATGTTTGATAGTCATTTATGTTTCAGAAATTATAAAACAAAAACAAAAAACATATTTGGTAACCGATTCAAGTTATTGACCCTAGTTATTAGCCTTAATAGTATTTCCTACTACAAAAAACAACTCAAAATTTCTTATCCCAACACATCCACCAACTCACCAAATAACAACGAAAGCAAGATAATTGAATCACACAAGTCATTAAACATAACAATATATCCCATTGTTTGTCATTAAACTCGAACAATTAATACAAATGCAAACAAAAGTAATGCACAATACAAATCAAATTGAAATTCTTTGTCATCACCGATCTCCTTTTCAATTGTCTTAGAAGTACAAAAATACAGATTACACAAAACCTAAATGCCCAACGATAAAAATATAAAACATTAACAAACACAACTACCAAGTCTCACATATTACCTAAATGTTTTAACTAATGCATTCTAGGTTACCCCTCAAATGCATTCCAAGTTACATTGTTTCATAAAGATAAAAAAATAAAAGACAATGCATGCACCTTCCATAATTATAAAAAGGAAAAACCTAATTCCTTTGTTAGCTTCCTCCTTAGTTGGCGCAATTGGAGAGAATCTTGGAGTAAAATATTCCTAGCTTGAGAAGGAAAAGCAATATAATCTTGGTATAAGTTGTATACCTGATCTTCTACTCCTTTATTTGCTAAAGAATTGGCCAGTGAATTAGCTTCCCTAAATACACGGCACATATGAAAATCTATTCCCCTTAGAAGAGTCTGGATCTCCTTCCAAATATGCCAGATTTTTCAATGACAAAAAGAAGTGAATGTAAAAATAAAATGAGATCTTTTAAATAGGCAAAAAAGAAAAAAAAATCAGAACTTAGCAATAAATCTTGACACACACACACACACACACAGGATGAAAACACACACACGCACACACACATTCAAACACATACACCCATGGCGCGCACACACAGAGATCTAACTAAATATAACAAAATATACATAGATCTAGGACTATATATGAATATATATACACAGATCTATGTATATAACAAAACCCAAACTTAAAAAAATTAATTCCATAGAGAAGGGTTAGAGAGAGAAAGAGATTGATGAAGATGGAAAAGAGTAGGAAATCTGACCTTGAGAGAGATATTGATGGAGATGGAGTGTTGAGAGAGATTGCGTAGGTATAGATCTGAGAGCTCCCTTCGCTGGCTTCCTTCCCCGCCTTCGAGAGAGAAAGATGAACGAAAGGTAGAAAGGGGTAAAAAAAGGCCTTTTTATACTTGGAACAAAAAAAAATTCCTTTTTGTACTGCTCATGGGTTTCGAAGGTGAGACCTCATTAATTGGAGCTGAGGCAGGGTTTTAAAAATTGGCCGTTACAATGCATAACGGCCATTACGTAACGGTAACGTTGAACTCCAATCCCGTTACACCCCGATATAACGGATAGAAAAAATTTCACACATGTAACGACCGTTATGGCACCGTAACGGGATTTAACGGGCGTTATGGAAGCGTTACAATCAATTAGGCTACCGTAACGGCCTAATTTTTAGCTTCCACTGCTCGTCCATGGAGGTTTTCTAGTCGGAAGATATGACCGAAGTATAAAGACGTAAAAGCTTGACGATGGAGATGACTAGGCTGAGAAAGGACTGGCTGACATCGACAGGCTTTTGGGAAAGGCAAAAATCAAGTGGAGCATTTTCTTCTACAACCTGTATAATGCATGGTTGTTGATGCATTATCAACTAATTTAGTGAATGAATAAATGACAAGTGTCATGTTCTTTAAAAAATGTGAAGGAGTGGATTCAAACAAAAAAAAGACTTATAGGTGGTGGGGTCTTTCTTGCACAAATTCAACGGCTAATAATTTTTATTGACAATTACAAAACATTTTTATTTTATTCCAATTATCTAAATCTACGAGTTCTTTTGATTCCTTCCTATTTTGAATACAATTTTCAAATCAACATATATTAATTGCTTGGATTTTCTTTCATTTGCCATAAATTTGGATTAATTATGTAATTTAGCATACCAAAGTGATTAATATAATAAAAAATTATTATAAATTACAAAAAAACTAAATTTATTTTATTTTGATCCAAATATATAGAAAATTTTAATTTTTGTCGATAGTTGTGAATGTATTGACAAAATTCACGATTCCGATTTTCGTTACTGCTATGTAACGTCCATTACATTCTGTGTCCGTTACACCGTTATCGATACCGTTACACCACCAATTACAGTTATTCCAAACCATGAGCTGAGGGGCGCTCGTGTTTCCTTTTTTTGGTGTTTTTGCAAACACCTATTTTCTGTTTGCAAATTTGGGACTTGTTTTCGTAACAAATTACATGGAAAAAAACGAAAATAAATACCAAACGCGTTGCTGTTGCTGTTGTTTTTTTTTTTTTTGACAAAAACTGAAAACAAAAACAGAATAAAAAATAAAAAGTGTTACCAAACAGGACCTTAGGCTAATGGTTTACTTTGTTATGTTTCTGTTTCAGGCCCTTGGCTTTCTCGAAGTTGAGAAAATGGTTATTCCTGCTATTGCTGAACACATGCATACATGGACCGGTGTTTTTGGTTTCCAACCTCTTGAGGAATCAGACAAAAAAGAAATGAAGTCTATAAACATGTTAGTGTTTCCCGGTACAGATATGTTACAGAAGCGTCTTGTGAAGCAAGAAGCCGTGGATGGAAAAATTGTTGCCAACTCAGGTTTGTTTTTCGAATGTGCTTTTTTGTCTTTCCTGAGTTCATATCTGTTCCTTTTATTCGACTTTTCACATTTTTTACCCTAGGTGCGAAGAACGTTGAATTGAAAGAAAATCATCCACCACCTGATTTGATAGAAAAGTCTGACATGGAGTCCTCTTCCAAGCATCGTTGCCACAGTCGTGATGATACTGGAGTGCACCATGTGAATAGGATCAACGAAAAAGTTGCTAAGGATTCTGGTTCACAAGCCCCAAGTGTTCTTTTGTATGATGGAACTGTAATGGTTAGTTCTTTGAATAGTTCTAGTGAATCTAAACATTTCTCTAGCAAGGAGGCTACATCCTGCTCTGCCATTCTTGAAATGGAACACACTCCTCTGGTGAAAGATAATATTCAGTCTTCTGCAGCAGTTGTCATGGGTGATGCTCACGAAGTAAATGCCAAAACTCCTTTTGTTGAATCTGTTCTTGATTCTGTAAGCGGAACTTCTGCGAGGAGTGTAGCTGAGGAGGCCAATGGAAATCAGAATCCTGTTTCTGTTTCTACAATTTGTGCCACTCATGAGAGTACCCTGCAATCTACCTTTGAGCTGAATCAAGACAGTACAGTTGAAATGGAAAGCAAGTTGCATGTGACTTCAGAGGTTGGTTCTAATGCAGAAGTTACACCTGGTGAAGGTAATATTCAGTCTTTTGTGAAGGGTTCTGAGGGTGATGCTCATGAAGTGAATGTGAAAGATGCTTCTGTTGAACCAGTATTCAAAGCATTGTTAGAAACTTCTGTGCAGAGTACTACAGAAAAGGTCAATGAAAAGCAGAATTCCACTCCCGTTTCTACCCCTCATCCAAGTGCAGTTGATATGGAAAACACATCACATTAGTCTGCAGGACTTGTTTCTGATGTTGAAGTTGCTACTGATGCAAAAGCTGCTCCAATTGAAGGTAACATCCTCTCTGCTGTGACGATGTGGATGATGATCATAAAGGCCACATCAAAGTTGATTAAATTGAACCTGCCCTTAATTTTGTAGGGATGTTTCTGCACAGAGTAGTACTGAAGAAATTGAAGAATACCATTATCTTGTGTGCTCACCACCTTTGGTTTACTTGAAACATTAGTGATAAATGGAAGGGATGGCACAATTATTGCCCAAGTAGAACATTGTTTGATGTTTCCGCATCAATGACATAAAGGGGTATGGTATCCTCCAATTCCTCGATCTTTAATTCAAGTTGTCTGCCTCTAGTTTTTGTGGTAACAATGAGAGTACCATGACATCAAACCATATTTGAACCATTGTAGTGCAATTGAAGTGGATATTGAGTTTTATCTTACTTACCGGGAAAAAAAAGAAAAGAAGTGGATATTGAGTTATCTTTGGCTTCAGAATTCAGTTTTTGAAGCAAAAGTTGCTTCTGCTGAAAGCTATATGATCTGGAATTGGTGACGTGCATGATAATCATAAAGTGCATGTCAATGGTACTTGTGATGAACAGGTTGTTGATTCCCCTTGGATAACTTCTATGAAGAATACTGCCGAAGAAATCAACGAGTCAGAATCCTGTTTGTGTTTCTGCTTCTCACGCAACTGATGTTGCATGCAATTCAACGTTGATTTAAATAAGTTGGCTGCACTTTATGCGGGCAAGTGAATTAACTTGTGGTTTCGGAAGTGAAAATTTTTCAGTCTATTGGAGAGGTGGAGTTGGTTGACACTTATGAAGCAAGTGGGTATCTGACAGGATTTGGTGGTGGTTCTTATTTGAATATGCTTAAAGTATCGTAGTGCAATCGACTGAACTTCATGTAGCTACAGAAGTTTCCAATCCGATGCATTGTGAAAGTGCCATTCTGCATCCTTTTGTGATAAGTGAGGGACTGATGCCTCTGTAGCAAGGATTGAGAATGGTTCAGTTGAAATGATCTTGACCCAAATGGCTAGGGTTCTATGACCACTGTTGAGTCAACACTATAATTCTTGGTGTTTGAGAGTTCTGTTGTGGTGCCATATGAGATTATTTGGAGGAATATGGGCGCAGCCTGCCCTTTGTCAGGATATCGTCTTCAGGGTTTTGTTCCATAGGGTTCTGAAAGATCTGGTGCCTTTGATGCCGCTGGGATGTGTTCAATTAACATGACAGTCAAACAGAAGTTACCTGCGTTTGAACCATATCCTCCAATAATGGCAACAATTTTGTGAATCATGCAGACTTTGTAAGTGAATACTAGCTGCCCTTGTGTACATATACAGATTTGAGTGCTTGTTTCTTAGTTTCGTCTAGTGCCTTGTAATTCATCATTGAAATGATAATTTAGTCATCATATGAGTAGTGAGAACTCTGCCCTTTTTACTCATTTGTTTTTACTACATCTAATCTTAAAAGTGTAGTCGTCATGATAGAGCCCTATCCTTACGAGGAACAGGTGATTTTGCATTCAAAACGAGAATTTTCTCTCAACAACGCTTCACCTGAATTTCGCTTAAATTTTGGTGGTGCAGTCAGTTGCAAATTACGCATATTAGGTTGACTATAAAGTATTACACCAGTGAGGTGTTTTCCATCCAATGCACTCCACTAATTTTTAGTCATGTGAACCACTACCAAAGGAAGTGCAGGCACGTCCATTTTGATTCCTTTGCTGTCATGTGCTATTATTATATTTATAACCTCTATTTCTACCCCCCCCCCCCCCCCCCCCAATAGACAAAAGTGCATCTCAGAGAATGCTTGAACATGGCCAAGGCATCGATTGTTGCGTCTTCACAGTCTCTCTAACACAGCTGGAGCAGCTTTGAAGGTGGGAATTGGCGGGGCTTGTTGGATGAAGGGAGAGGCAATGGAGGACTACACGGGTAGTCCCTTACCTCTGTGGCATGTTTCAGAGAGTCAAGCGGCGATGCGGGTTTAAAAAACTTAGGGTGGAAGACACCCATTGCCTACCCAACCGGAGATTTCGAGTTGCAGGCATTGCAGTATGGCTCTCCAGGAAGTTGAAGAAAGAATGTGAGGGTGCAGCTGCTTAACTCTACCTTCAGTATAAAAATTAGATCTATTATGGGGTGGTGATTAGATTGTCTTTGAATCAACATGCATATTTGGCATAGTGCACAAGATTCTCGTAAACATCAAATTTGAGAGATTTAGGTGTACACAACCTTACCTTAAAGCCGACTTCATATAGGGTTGTTTGCGTTTCTAACATAAATTAGGCATGATGGTTTGATTTTTATGTTGATTTCCAAGTAATTTTCATTGGTTGTGACAGTCTCTATACAATATTCTCCATATGGCAAATTGAGTTCATGCCTCTAAAACAATGCATTGACCCCCGACCCCAAAGCACAGTGGTACGACCACGTATGCAACTAGGATTTTTAAAACATGACACAATACAAGCATAATACGAAATGACACAAAATAAAGAGTTCAAGTCTTTCTTGAATTATTATTTTCGTGAATAAGTAGACTTGACACAATACGAATAATAAACGAATCGGGTATGAGTGAAATAAAAAAAAATTATACGATACAACTTATTTATATATCAATTATATACTATTTATACATGATACGATTATACAACATATGCAGTCAAAATTCGAATAAGCCCTGATTGGTAGGCACTATGTTCGACCAACACAATTTTAGAGAATTTGAACACGGACGTGAATCTCAACCTCGACCTTAACCCTAAGGTACAGTAGTATTATCACGAATGCAATTATAATTGTTAAAATATGATACGATTCATTAATATGAAATGAAAGAGTTTAATTTTTCTCAAATTATATATTTTTATAAACGAGTAGACTCGATATGATACAAATAATAAATAAATCGAGCATAAGTTAAGTTAATAAAAAAAATATAACACGATTTGTTTATATATTAAGTATATATATCATTTATATACGATACGAATTTGATATAACCCGATTCATTAGTCCAATAATAAAATATTTTTTTTGACAAAACTTCGATTGGACACGATGTGAATCCGTTTACTCACCCGACATAATTGATTTCCCTACAGGCAACATTGTTTCTGAGGAAAAAAAAACGTTGTCGTATTGGTAAACTTAAAAGAGTGTGGTGAGCTCACCAAAACATTGCCCTCGTGATTTGCTCATCTCACTCTCATGGAGATTTCTGTTCCCAATCGTCTTGTCAATCACTCTTTTTCTTCTTCCCCATTATCATCTCAACCTCTGAAGACTGGGGTTAGGTTTTTACAGCCCAATCTCATCCCTACACGCCTTAACCGCTCCAAACCCTCTACTCCAATTGGAATCGGCGCTCAGAGAACAATGATCCCTAGTGCCTCGAACAATGGCTCTCCAACTATCTCTAATTTAGTCGATTCCGGTAAAACAAAATTCATTTACTTTTGAATCTCAATTTCATTAGGAATTTCGAATTGTTGTGATGAATTCTTTGTTTATTTGTTGAATTTGAATTTTCAGTGGGAGGAGGGAGAATCGGAGAGGTCAAAAGGGTTACGAAAGAGACGAATGTATCGGTGAAGATAGACTTGGATGGTTCAGGTGTTGCTGATAGCAGTACTGGAATTCCTTTTCTTGATCACATGTTGGATGTATGTCTCTGTTTCTTTTGGCACAAATGTCTTTTTTTTTCTCGAGGAAAATGTTAGCAACAGATTCCTGGGAAGAAAAAAATTCTTTGACACATTTTAAGTAAAGAAACTTGTATATTTACACTACACTTGGGAGTGATTCATTAGTATTACTGTATTAGATTGACGCTTATGCTTTGTTTGGTTGCCTAGGAAATGGAGGAAAGCATAGAACTAGTGACATTTGTAACAGATGAGAATCCATTCAAATGAACCAGCAACCAAGCCCATGATCTTATATTTTTTTCCCCTGTTGATTGCATAATGATAACTAATCATGAAGTTGGCGTGGTGGTCATTTATTTGTTTGTTTGTTTGTGTTTTAATGTTTTTGTAGCAACTTGCTTCGCATGGGTTGTTCAACGTGCATGTAAAGGCTACTGGGGATATTCACATTGATGATCATCACACGAATGAGGATGTTGCCCTCGCCATTGGAACGGTGACCTTCTAAAGCTGTTGCAGTAGTTTATGTAATCATTGCTGTAGTTTATTGTTTGTATTACTCTAATCATAGAATGTTTGGTGTCATAGGAATTGTGTTTGTTCATTCTGTATAGCACAATGTTTGGATGAGGTTACTTCAAATTTGTTCATGTTTCTTTATATATCAATTGCATTTGCAAGTGATAAGTGTTATGTGGAGCATAATCGAGTGGTTCAGTTTCCTTGCTGCACTTTCATAGTCCCTTTTACTTGCTACAATCGTTTATATTTTTACCAAAAATTTCAATCTAATTGATTAGCTTGTTCGTGCAGGCTTTGCTGCAAGCACTTGGTGATAGGAAAGGAATTAACCGGTTTGGTGACTTCTCCGCTCCCCTTGACGAAGCACTAATACACGTTTCACTGGTATATCACCAGCTCTACAAGGAAGTACTTTAATACAAAAATGATTTTTACATGTAATTAACAGTATTGGTCCAAAAAATGAACTAGCAACTTTATATTTTGTCATGACAACATAGAATGCTGGAATGGCATTATATTTTTTGGGTCACTAGATTGTATCTGATCTACACTCTTGTATGGTCTGATAATCAACATTTGTATTACAATAGGTTGACAGTCAAAGGCACCTGTGGGAAATGAACTTTAAGATCTTCATTGTTGATTCATTGAGCTTAGTGACAAAGAAGTGGTTCTGATTTATGCTATCCATTGGACAGTTGTAGTTGCTTAAGTACATAGTTTGATGTGCTTGTGATTGACTGAACGTCTACTAACCTTTGCCACTATAAACCATTTCTGGCATAGGGGGTACATGTCAGGCCTGGGGACAGCTTTCTGGGCTGAGCTTAGAAAGCATGTGTGAGCAATCCCATACTTGTTTTACTCAGGTTACAAGGTACACAAAGCTTTGCTACCCTTATTGAGCTGGGAAGCATTCAGCCTCTACAGCCACTAGAATAAATAAGATAGGAAGTTAGTTGTGGGTGGAAGAAACATAGTATTTATTGTGGCAACAATAAGG